TCTAGTATCAGAACTTTGAGTTATTTTTATGTAAGACCTGTTTTATTTATCATTACCTTTATTTATCTTACATTTTTATGTAAGAGTTGTTTTATTCTTACATTACTTTGTACATAATGTATCTTCAGTAAAGTTTCGGTCAGCGAATGAAAGAACGAATGGATGAATGAATAATTGTTTACCGGAATTCATCCATTCACTCATTTAAGAAACATTAGGTATCACTTTTGTGCTGAGTCCTGGGCTCAGTGCTAGGGACACAGGAGACCCTCCCACTGAAGAGACCACAGTCTATTGGTGGGAGACACACAAGAAGAATAGTCATTGCATCAGTGGTGTAATGTGATAGTGGCCTGAGAAGAGAGGACCAATTCAATTTGGACTAGGGAAGGCTTGCCAGAGGAGCTAAGTCTTAAAGGATAAATGATTATTTCTTTCCTTCTAGACTTATGATTTCCCAAAGGGTGAGCTTCTTGAGAGAGTGTATATCCCCTTTACCTATCTAATAGGCATTTAACATCCGGTGTATTCAATTACCAGTGGTCCTTGAAGGAATCAGGAAGGAGGAGAAATTGAGTTTGAAGGGAATGAAGGGACAGTGCTGAGAAGCCGAGAGAGAAAGTGAAAAAGGAAAGGGAAAAGATTCTGAGGCCAAAGGTACATTCACAGGTAGGAGTGCTTGTGGTCTTGCACACGACAGCATATGAACAGCATGGAGGAATAGGAGGAAGGGAATTGATTATCAGGAATGAGACCAGTCGGATGTCTGAGAGATTAGAATCTTAGAGGCCCTGGCTGTGCGTTGGGGTCTGGGATGGGTGGGGAGGATTGGGGATGAGGCCCAGAAAAACGGACTTGAAAAGCAAAAACTGTTGCTTGGTGGTAGATGACTTGGAGGATTGGGTTTACCTGATTGGGATCATTAAGTGGGGGCAAGAAGAAACTGAAAACCTGACAGGTAGTGAGAGCAGGGGGAAGTTTTAAAGAAGCATTTTAGACTCATATCTCCTAATCACTAGAGATGTTTGGGTACCACTCTGTTGGTGAGGTGGAGTGGTTGTGGAAATGACCTCCAAGGCTCCTTTTAGCTTTAAGTTTCTGTGATTACGGTTGGCTGCGGTTCAGTGAGATATATTTGAAAGTGCCTTGAAAAAGGTAAGTACTATATTGAAGTTACTGTATATGGTATGTTAGTCATGGGCTCTCTTTTGAGGGAGCCTGATTTTAGTTACATATATCAGGGTTCATTGAGATAAAGAGCAAAAATTTTGGCAGAAGAGAAAAGAACTTAAAGTTTTGATGTAACATTTTTTTGATTTTTGCTTCTTAGCTTTCCTTCCCTAATTGTTTTAAGAATTTAAAAGCTTCTAGTAGCATATTATACCTCCCGAGTATCATGCCTAGAAGTCAACTTTTTATGTAACCACTGGCATTCATCCTAGGAAACTTGTTACTTATTTCATTTATAGAGAAAGAATATAATCTGTTGTCTGGAAATTCTTTATGGACTGGTTCTATCCTTTTCTTTGTGTGTTTAAGAAGTAACTCTGGAAAGCAGGTACAGTTAGTCAACCCTTCAAGCAAGCAAATGAACAAACCTCCCCCCATCCCCCCCCCCAAAAAAAAAATGGGTCCGGTCTGGCAGAACTTAATTTGTGTTCGAGTTCCTACTAATGTCTCCCAGTTGTTTAACTAGTGAAAGAGAAGATGAAACCCATCCTTTAATTTGTAATTATGGGGTCTGCTGTGTATTATGCACTGGAAATTCAAAGATGGGTAAGACAGGATCTTTATCAACTTAGAGATAGTGAAGAGATGCAAATGGCCCTTTACAATACTAGATAATTACTGTAATGGAAGTGTGTAACAAATTCAGAGGGGCATAAGAGACAAGCACTTGAGTTAACTAGGGGGAGTCAGTGAAATCTCTATAATAGAGATGGGTTTGAGATGGAAAAATTAAAGGTTAGGTTTACAGAGAAGCAGTGATTTGCATGTGGCATCAGAGTTGCCTTTCTGTAGCACTTTCTGCTTGGTATAGACTGTACTATGGAGCTCAGATAATAAAAGGGTAATGGATAGCCTAGCCCAAATGCAGTTGGTGCTCTTTGCCACTCCTTTGGAAAGATTGTGCATGCTGTGGTTCTTCAGGATGTTATACCTATGTTTTTCAGTATCAGATGCCGTTAGTATGATAAATAATTTGGAAGAGCAGCCATCAGTTCATTCATGTTCCTTTCCTCTTCTTTTGTCTTGTCCATTATTACTTTCTTTAGTAGTTGAGGTAATTTAGGCTTTGCTAACTACTTTTCCTGTTTAGGAGAGGTGGGTAGAAAAGAAGGCTTAGGAAAAGAGCTACCAGTAACAAAGGCTACTGTTTATTGAGCCCTTACCATAAACCAGGCCCTGTGTAAAGCTCTTTACATACATTATCTCATTTGTTACTAACAGCAGCCCTGTAAGTTAGATGGTGTTAACCATATTTTATAGAGGAGGAGACTGAAGCTGGAGAAGTTAAATAACTTTCCTAGGATTCCACAGTTTATGAGTGAGGAAGTGCAGATTGCAACCCAGGTCTGCCGATGCTATACTGAACTTAGCCCATACTAAGCACCTTGGTTCCATTTCTTACTCCATTATTTTACTCTGCGGGTAGGTAATTTAAAACTCTATGGTCTTAATGATCTCATGAAAATTGATACAGTGATAAGTGACTGTTCAGAAGAGCATTTTGATTCTCACATTTGTGAAGTAGGTTTAATTAGTATTCTCTATTTACAATCAAGGAAGTTGAGGTTCAGAATATTTGAGACATGCTGAGGATCTTGCAACTACTAACTGGTATCATTAAGATTTAAACCCATATTTATAAATTCCAAAATGTTTGCTTCCTCTCAGTTTAAAGACCTAAACTGCAGGCTAATCTTACCAAGGTAAATTACCCTATCTTTATATACAAAAGTCCCATCTCTAAAACATGAAGCAGCATTTCATTCCTGAGAGGTTCAAAGTGGGGGTTAACTAAAGGAATATTGGTTTTTCTATGCTTGTTTTTAATTTACTGATAATTTGATTCTACTGAATCCCTGGTCACGAGGAGTAATTAGCCCAGTAGTAGTTAGGGAGATGAAAGATGGGTCTAGCCAGCTCAGGCTGAGTATTAAACAGGCTGTGATAACTGGTTAGCTCAGTTCTTTCTCTCAGCTTGCTAAACCACTGAGTGCTTGGGGATATTAGTAGGATAAAGCCTGCATACCAGCTAGGAGACCCAGAAGCAGACCTACTCTAGTGAGTTGCTCCTTGAAGGGGTAGCTGGCCAACACCTGAGAGGAACTGGAGGCATCATCTTTGCACAGAGAGAGCTGGCTTGGAACCTAAGTAGAAAAGCACTTCAGTGTCCAATCAGGGCCAGCCTGTCCGCCTGGCCAGTGCCTGTGAATTCTGGATGTGTCTATTCTCAGTGCTTGTTCATCTGCCAAAATGATGTGATATACAGATTAATGAATAGTTTCCAGCTCAAGTTCAAAGCAGGTATCCCATCCTGCAACTAACTTGAGGTATTTTTGTCTCAGGTGCATGATTTACCTCTTCTGGGCCCTGTTTTATTCCTGTTAGGAGATTAGACTAGATTGATGGTTTTTAAACCTTTAGTCACAAAACTCTTTATTCAAACAAAATCTCACTTGGAAGCCTGTGGTCCTTGAAGAGACTCAAAGGACACTGGGTATCTACAAGTCACACTTTGAAAAATCAAGGAGCTTTCTCTAAGTGCTCACTGGTTGAATAACCCTACTTTATATTCCTTTAGCTGCCCTGAACTTCGCCTAGGCCAGCCCTACAAACATTACTTTGTCATCTGTCTTCCCTATTAGACTGCTGGCTGCATGAGAAAGCAGAGTCCAAGTCTGTTTTGCTCATTATTGTCCCTTCACTCAGCATGGTGCCTGGCTTATAGCAGGCACCTAATACGGTTTGATAATTATTACTTTTGAGTTGTAATAATAACTACTATTTAGTGAATGTTCATTATATGCCAGCTCCTCTGCTCAGCAGTACATGCTTTTTGATTGAATGTTTACAACATCCCAATAAGGATTGAACTATTGGACTAAATCACATCTAAAGCTCTTTCTGGCTCTAACATACTCTGTACTATGCTTATGATTACTGCCAGGGTCTTTGTTGGTGCTGTCCTGTCTGCCTAGAATACCTTTCCTTTCCCTCTGTGCCTTTCCAAATCCCACCTGTACTTTAAGGTTCTAGCTCAAGGTGCTCTCGACTTCTAGAACTATTTTGATCTGCACCGATATCTTCTTTCTCTTCCTTTTATGGTTTTTCTCTGTGCTCATTTATTAATTTGTCAGACTTTTCGACACACCTGCTGCATGCCAGGCATTGTGCTGTGCCTGACAATACCAAGATGAATGAGGAGTTCACAGACTAGCATAGGTAGATAAATGAGTAGAAAAATGTGTCACAGGTGCTGTGATAGTGAAGTAGGTGCTGTGGGTAAATCAAAGAGAAAATGGCAACTCATGTCTTATCTCCTTTTCCCAGCTAGATTGGTAAATCC